AGTAATAGTCGTCGTAGCAGTAGCAGCAGCAGCAGCAGTAGTAGCAGTAGTTAGTGGTAGTGGTGATAGTAGTAGTAGTAGTAGTAGTAGTAGTAGTAGTAGTAGTAGTAGTAGTAGCGGTAGTAGCGGTAGTAGCAGTAGTAGTAGTAGTAGTAGTAGTAGTAGTAGTAGTAGTAGTAATGATGCTGATGATGATGACAGTAACAACAACACCAATAATAATGTGTATATATATATATATATATGTATGCATATACTTATATATAAACACATAAAACCATGTTTTATTGCTTCAGGAAACTTTGTTAATAATGCCAGCACCGTCACAAATCGGAAAACAACGACAATGACGGCAATTAACCATGCTATCAGGAAATCCCGCTCGGCAATAAACCCTAAAGTGTATGACATAAAGGTCTGATCGACTTCTTTTATCTGTTTAAACCTCAGAGGACCCCTGGAGGGCCTTGTAGGCCACTGTTCTTATTCCCAAAACCCGATGCCTCGGGGTCGTCGAACTTGCTGAGGCCCAGGGGATCGAAAAATCCAAGGGGCGGAGTCACACCAAGCTCCTGCAGGGACCAGGACGGTTCAGGGGTTGGGGTTTCAGAAAAATGGGAGCTTTGCTAGTTTGTGGCTTTTCGTGGTTTGGGTGAGAGGCTCGTGACACAAACTCCACACGCACATCCAACATGCAGGGTACATGCCAATTCTATTCGAGGTCCACAACCTAGGAACTCCAAACCTTGGGAGCAACTGAAGCTTGGACTACAGTTCGCACTTCTGCGAAAACAGGGTTGCACAGGAGCCTACACAATAGCCAGAAGCTGGTTCAGTCGGCAGATGCTGCAATATTGCGGAATGAAACGCAGGAATGGACTGACAAACGACTGATTCTCCTTGGTTCAAAGTTCAAAGCCCTGGGAGGTTCCTTTACCCGACCCTAAACCCGAAACCGAAAGCCCAACAAGAATTAAGCTCCTGAGATCGATCCGATATTCCGCCCTGAAACACTCGCAGAAGTTATAAAATCCCCAACTCCCCCACACCACGGCTCCCCGGAGAAGTCGGGAGCAGCGCGGAGAGGCGAGTCAGTGTAGTTGGCCCAGTCGCCTTGAGCCAGCGTCTCCAATTCAAGGAAGCTCTCCTCACAGCCTGTTCCTACGGCTTGACTCTTGACCCTTGTAAAGCTTTGTAGCCGGAGTTCAGGGACGGCCCTGCGCTGGATCCAGATTCTGGTAACAGCAGCTCTCACAGCCAAGAAACCCCGGGTTGCCGCAAGGCCAGCCGCCAGCCCCTATAACAAAACAAAGACAGCCGTTGCTGCCGAGGGTCCCCAGGCAGACCCGGTAAGGCCGTCCTGGAAGAACATTCCTCAGGAGCAGAGTCCCGAGTTTAGGGGTCGGCGCATAGCCGCGCTGGAAGGCTACACAGGGTTTCATACGGTTTTGCAGGGGCTTATACAGATTTCTGGGGATGTAGGGCCTGGGTTTAGGATCTTGGCCTGGGGTCTGTGGGAAGCCGACATAGCAAAGGTTTTGGATTGTAGGATTTGAGGCTTCAAGGCTTTAGGTCTTATGGTCTACCTCACCATCGCGAACCACCCGACACCCAAATCCAGAAGCACTAGGTTCCGACGAGGTGCCGATGATGGCCATCATTGCCAGCCTTGGTCGAGCCAGCGGTCGAAGTGAAAGGAAGACACACTAAACGGCACCCTCACACTCAACAGACGACTTCCAACACACTCTAACGAATCAAGCTACAACTCCACAACCCTGAACCCGAAATCCCACTGAACACTTCCGCAGCCCAGGCCCACATCCCTACGCCCGAAACCTTGACACCAATTACATCGAACAAGTGCGGGCAGGAATCCAGAATCCTTCACCCCAAACCTGCACACCACCAAAAAATGCGCACACCGCACATAGAGAGACGCACCAACAAAATCTCGGCGCTGGCCTTCCGTTGTTGATCTCGGCATTCAAGCTCTTCGCTTTCTTCTCGGGATCCTGCGAAAACTGTCCGCTCTATAAAACCGAAATTCAATTGACTCTACGGGCTCACTGGGCTCAATGAAGGGGTAAGAGCGATTCATGGGTCACGGGACTTCAAAACTGGTCTTCAGATTGGAGTTGAGTTGTTGCAGAGGCGGCAATTCGCAACTTTTTAATGTAGGCCCAGAGCTTGGATCATATTGCAGCATGTTAGATGATATTGCAGCTGTCATCAAGACAGAGCATATAATGACTATACTATACTGGTCAGCCAAACGTGAGCTTCATACGCCATTCAAGAAGTTTGTGCGCAGAAGAGGCGTCACAGACAGCCTACGGGCCACTCCCAACCCTCGCCAGCCGTCTGCCTACACAAACCCAATTAAGGCAACCCGGTTACAGAGCATGTACCAGCTCCAGAAGAACGAGCTTCACGGATAGAGGCCGTTAGACTCACAGGAAGCAGGGATCCAAACTAAAAGCAAACTGTAGCTTCTGCAGCCCACGGGCTGCATGGTCGTGTCGTCCATGACAGAGAAGCGAGGTCTCGACTGGTGTTGAGGAACCCGTGGCAGCTCAATCACTCCCGGACATAGGTGGGTTTCTGGGCATGTATTGGAGTCTGAAAAATCAAGATCCGAAGACCCTGAACTCTCCTCGATCTTCTTGCCGAACGGAAGACCGAACGCGCCGTAGCCTGCTCACCGCACGTGGGATGAGAGCTCACGTCTAGGTTCGCTTGGAACATCTGCTACATACTTGAAGGCACCACCACAGGTTAACGGACGGCAAAATCCAGAACTCGCACACTTACCCAAAAACCAGGTAAGCTCTTCATATTCCAGGGTCAGCCCGCAAAGTTTGAAAGACAAGATGCCATAGTCGCCGAGGATGTCTGTCTGAATGCTCTGGAGGTTGGTCACCCTGAGCTGCTCAGGGCAAACACAAACCTTGAGAGTCCTTCGGGCCGCAACTGCTGAACTCTCAAGCCAGAACCCCTGAAACTTGATTTTCACTCCCACAGGCACAAACCTTCGACCATGCCTGATGCTTAGCAGGGGGTGCCTTCAGAAAACAAAGGACTAAGATGAGCACAAACCTGCCGGAAAAAGGAGCGTGAAGGAATTCCAAAGCTCGTGGCTCTCGTTTGAACACTCTGGGCTGCTCTTATACGGGACACCCAAGGCATTACCCCACCAACTGGTTCGGGCTTAGTGTTGCGGACTTCGAGAAATAGTACCTGAGGCTTTTAGGAAATTTTAGGATGTTGGCTGCAGGGGCTCCGAACCTCTTATGATGTAGTCATGACAGAAAGGAACAACCAGAAGTGAAAGCATCGTTGTCCTGCCCTTCGAGCAAGCTACACTATACTCGACTGCAGTCGTAGCTACAGTGGCACTCTCTCATGGCGGAGTAGCAGGAATACTCTACTGGGAAGCCCATGAAAGTGCAGGCGAGTGGCTCGATTATGCCGACCTCAGACGTCGTCACAAACGAAAGTGGAAAATGGGGGGGGGGCATTGGTGCATAGAGAACTCGGAAGCCTCGGATCAAGCCTTCGATAGAGTAAGGATGTCGGGCCGGGCCTTGAAGCTGAGGAAGCCAAATATGCAACACAAGCAGGCGAGGCCCACCCTGCGCTGGAAAAGCCCAGAGAAGAATTGCCCAAATTCTGCACTGCAACAGGACGGCCTACTATCCAGCAACCATTCCGGTACCTACATCACCCCACCGAAGTACGTTTACCTCGAAAGCCCCATGTCCAAGCATGTCCACCGGTTACCGGTAAGGCCCTGGCGAAGGTGACGATCTGGAGCCATCCTCCGGGTTTTTTTGAGACCGGAAGAGGAGAGTTTAGGCAGTTTAGGGCTTCTTGCTGTTCTAGGGTTTAGGGCTCACCCTGTACGCCCAAACGGCGACCCGGTCACCCTTGTGAAAAGGCCGGTGCTAGAACGACCAGAATCCTGAACCACCCAATCATTGAAACAGTCCTGCCAGGGGCACTGCTGCGGCGCCCTTCAGGCCGTTGGGGATATCCTTGTTTCAAGCGTTCAGGATCGCGGGCTGTTGGTTGGAGGAGGAGCTGAGGGCGTACAGCTGCAATATGAGGGGGGCTGGCTCCGATGACTCATGCTACTGCGCCGTACAAACACTCACATCCTGAATGACAATCTTCAAGAGGCCTCAACAGCCCGCTGAGGCCCATGTTATACTAACCTCTACGCTGCGCACCTGTCTTGCTGGACCCCAAACGTCCCAACCACAAAGTCTGATATCAGTTCATATCACGGCAAGCATCTGTGAAGGCCAAGTTCTGCGAAGGGGCGCAGAATCCTGCTGCCGGCAACAGGAAAACGCATGGATGGAGCATATCTCGGAATCGAGGAGACATAGCTCGTCATCACTTGCGGAGCTTGCCACGGCTCGAGATTGTAGGTGTCTGGGCTCGGCGGTTGAGCTTGAAATCTTTCAAGGTTAGCTTAAACTGCGAATACCGAGATATTGAGTCCAGGATTTCGAATTGAACCTGTGGCGGCAGACCCACGCCC